CTTGAGGTGGGGAAAACTTTTCTAAGTATAAAAGCCAAGTAAGAAACCATGAAAGAATAGTTGAACAGAACGGACAAGAGAAAATAAAAAATATAACTGCTGCACATTATAAAAATGTAAAAGAAATTAGCTGTGGACAGTACTATAGAATAAGATTCACCACTCACTGAGCACATGCTTAGAGCACTGTAGACTCTCTTCATCCTCACGGTAACTGGCTTTTGTTTTTTAAATTTATTTAATTAATTAATTTATTTCTGGGGCTGCATTGGGTCTTCGTTGCTGCACACAGGCTTTCTGTAGTTGCAGTGAGTGGGGGCTACTCTTTGTTGCGGTGTGCGGGTTTCTCACTGCGGTGGCTTCTCCTGCTGCGGAGCATGGGCTCTAGGCGCACGGGCTTCAGTAGTTGCAGCATGCGGGCTCAGTAGTTGTGGCTCGCGGGCTCTAGAGCACAGGCTCAGTAGTTGTGGTGCATGGGCTTAGTTGCTCCGTGGCCTGTGGGATCTTCCCAGACCAGGGCTCAAACCTGTGTCCCCTGCATTGGCAGGCGGGTTCTTAACCACTGCGCCACGAGGGAAACCCTCTAATCTTGATTTTAACATATGTTTCTAGTTATTTCATTCACTCTCTCACTCAGTAATTTAGTAATTTATTAATTAAACATATATACAAAAGAATACCTACTACGGGCCAAGGGCTCTGTTGGGTGCTGGGGATGGAGGTTTTTTTCCCCAGTACGCGGGCCTCTCACTGCTGTGGCCTCTCTCGTTGCGGAGCACAGGCTCCGGACGCGCAGGCTCAGTGGCCATGGCTCATGGGCCCAGCCGCTCCACGGCATGTGGAATCTTCCCGGACTGGGGCACGAACCCGTGTCCCCTGCATCGGCAGACGGACTCTCAACCACTGCGCCATCAGGGAAGCCCCAGGCGGATTCTTAACCACTGCGCCACCAGGCAAGTCCCACTACAGATACTCTTATTAGCCCCATTTTACATATGAGGTTTAGTTTATCAGACATTAATTGAAGTGAAATACTGCAAACTTTTTCTCAAAGCTAATGATAAGTATTTTAGTGAAAGTGGTAGGTAGTTAGACATGAACGGCTCCTCGCCCTGTCCCGGAGGGGGTCATCTTTCCCTCCCCGACCTGGACACGGGTGATCAGAACATGCCCAGAGATCTTCCCTTTTTGCGGTCAAGGACTTCTAGGATTCCAGCCTTATGGAGACCAAACAAGATGAACCCTCCAGCACAGGTTGACGCAGGCCCACCAAGACCTAAAAGGTGCCTCAGAGTAAAACCCGGGGTTCATTATGCCGTATTTATAATAAATTAGCATTGCGGTTTTTGCCCATGTCCCCCGGGGTTTCGCTTGGGTGCTTGTGGGTAAGCACCTGAGCACAAAGAGAAAAGTCATATAACCTAAAGCTGTCAATCACCTCGGCAGTCAAATGGCGCAAGACACAAGGAGGGACTTTCCACCACTCTGAAAAACCAGCCCTACGCCCGTTGCGGGCTGCTTCTGGTTTCCGGACGGCCTGCTCCCCTTCTCTCTCGGGAGTATATTCTCGCTTTGCTTAATAAAACTTCTGCTGCTTAAAACTGCTCTATGTCTCTTGACTGAGTTCTCTCCTTTGGGGGGTCCAGGACAGAGGAATTGCCATTTGGCCGGTAACAAAAGCGTTATGTCAGCATGGTGAGATCATTGTGATGTTTTGTTCTTGTCTTGGTTTTCCAAACTCTTCAGTATCTTACATTACATTTATTTTTAGAGAAAATAGATTCATTTGTAGAACTACCTTTTGAATTTTCTTTGTCATAGCTCTGTTATCTTAGAGTAAAACATAGGGAGTTCTTTATAAAAAAATGCAGTGGAGGGAGAGCGATAACAACACTTACTAGGTGTCTACCAAGAGTTAGACACTGTAAGAGCTGATTTATCTGCATTATATTTCATCCTAACCTAAAGCCTGTGAGGACAGGTATATTTTTCTCCACTTACTGAAGAAGAAAACTGAGACTCAGAGCTTGCCAAACAGTTACACTGCTGGGGATTGAAACACGTCTTCAACATCTGGGCTCTCTTTATTGGGCCTCCCCCCAATTATCCACTGTACCTTCTCCAACAAGGCTATAAAAGTGTGGGCTCAACCCTATGTGTATGGGAAAAGGAACTTCATTTTTAGAAAGCAATGATAAATAAAATACAGGAGACAAAAGGTGTGAGTCGACTCCATCATCTTGGTGCCAGCTATGGCTTCATCTCTAGCAGAGCACTAAGCTTACAACTGCCGAATGTGTGTGATAGCACTAAAAATGTCCCTTCTTGCACTAGTAGATCATACTCTTATATCCTGTTTTCTCAAAGTTTAGAAAAGTCTCTGGAGCTCATTTATTCAGTACCACCATGACCCCTATCATCTTAAACACTTCAAACAGATGGGTGCCTATCCAGCTCTGAAACATTTCACAGGAACAAGGGTTAAAAAATTCCACTGGTAACTGGTACTTATGCTTAACCTGTCATGGCAGGAAGTATTCTAATGTCTTCTATATGTTGACCTCATTTCAAATAAAATTCCTATGAAAATAAGAGACATGAAGCTCCAGTGGTAACCAGTTCCCATATCGCAACGCTTCACATTCCCAAAGAGAACTACCAGGTACGAGTTCAGAATCACTCTCCCTAAACCTTTGTTCCCAAATTTGATTTACTACTATTTTGATGCTTCCCTTGAATCTTCAGACATCATGCCTACCTAATGAGGATGCAAAAGGGACAAAACCTGTAAAAGAAAGATCAACTTGTAATTTGTATATACATCTCAGGACTGCTGGGACTAAACTGCTGACTAATGTTTAGCTTGGAATGAGCTGAAAACTTTGGATGTTTGCACCTGGTTACTGACCATCTTGACATGATGTGATTTGTTTTCTTCCTGTAGTATAACTGCACATAACCTTTTTGAGATTCTTAGTTTTATATCACCGTCTCAGTCTTTTTTAGTCCAAATATTCATTGATTAACTAATCATTCATTCAGAAAACATTTAAAGACCACCTACTGTATACCAGGCACTGTGATAGTTTCTGGAGAGACAAAAATAAGTCTTGCCTTTAAGGACGTAAAAGTCTAAAGGATGAGATGAAGAAGTGAACAGACAACTCCCATATAGTGTTCTTAGTGTTTTCACAGAGGTATGAACTGGTGTTGTGCAAAGTCAGAGGAGGGTCTGGGGTAATGAGGAAAGTTTCTTAGAGGTGATGCTCAGGAAGAATCATTAAGGATCAGTAAGAGTCAGTCAAGCATTGGAAGGAAGTAATTCCCTGCACATTTTGGAAACTGCGAGAGCAAAAGGTGCCTGTGGGAACTGAAAACAGAGAGCTGAGGTTAGCCCATATCTCCGAGAATAAGCTATTTAGTGACAGATACAAAATGTAATGATGATTATCTTTAGTGCATCCATCAACTTTTTTGATGAAGATGACTTGGTCCCAAACCAAATTTTAAAGGACATAATTTTTCAGAATGTTGTGGTTATTACTAATTATTTTAATAATAACCTTCCAAATGCTTTACATCCATAGAGTATGATGAGCTACAGGAATGTATTTTGCTAATGAAATGTCATACCTACTTTATCATATTAACCATAAAACTCCAATAAAGCAAACTCCAGGCAAGCTCAACACCATCACCATAGGACTCCTACCCTTTGACTACCTGTGAGTGAATGGAAAGTGCAATGCTACCCTGCAATCACTTAAAGGTAAATGGTGAGAAAGTCAATTTTTATCTTTGGTCTATTAGATGAGGGCATCAGCACATTAGAATTGATTTTCAGCGACTGGAGAAAAGTGGTTAAAAAAAAAAAAACCAACCCAGATGAACAGAGTACTTCACAGCGAGAGTCCTACATGCTCAGATACAGAAAGACCCACTCCGCTAAGAACTGTTACCCCATAAGTATCAATCCCTCCATTTGACCTTAGAAATAGCACTTCCTTTGATAATATTTTCCAGGCCAGTATCATAGTCTTCAGCAGTTAGACAAAAAAACAAAAACAAAAAAAACCCCATGGCATACAGAGCATGCTAGTTTTTTTTTTTTGTTTGTTTGTTTGTTTGTTTGTTTTTTGCGATACGCGGGCCTCTCACTGTTGTGGCCTCTCCCGTTACGGAGCACAGGCTCCGGACGCGCAGGCCCAGCGGCCATGGCTCACGGGCCCAGCCGCTCCGTGGCATGCGGGATCCTCCCGGACCGGGGCACGAACCCGCGTCCCCTGTATCGGCAGGCGGACTCTCAACCACTGCGCCACCAGGGAAGCCCGCATGCTAGTTTTGAACAATAGTAGACAGTTGCAAAACGGAGCAAGTGTCACAACAGCTTTTCACTAAAGCTTTCAAAAAGCATTAAAAGAATTAAAGAACTATGGCTAGAGTAGACAGATTCTCAGAGAAAATCAAAGATGAAAGGATGTGAATTAAGGGGTAAAAGATAAATGTCTTTCCTAAAAGATGGACCCTAATGATATTTTATCAATGTACTACAATTAATTAATAATAAGCCTTGGTAAGAACATATATTACGTTTAAAAACAAGAATATGATTGAAACAGTTATACTTGATCAAGGTACAATGTATATAACACCATGAGAAAAACAAAACATCTTTCACTTAAGCTCAATAACTTTATCTTGGAAGAAGAAACAATGAACCTATCTTTGAAAGTGAGTGCTAAATGTATTTTTAAAACATTTTACCTTGGGGCCGGGTGGGAGATGAATTGGGAGATTGAGATTGGCATATATACACTAATATGTATAAAACAGATAACTAATAAGAACCTGCTGTATAGCACAGGGAACTCCGCTGTACAGTAGAAATTAACACAATATTGTAAAACAACTATAACCCAATTTTAAAAAAAAGAAACATAGAAAGGATATGACAATTAAAAACAAACAAAAAAATAAAAAAACAAAAAAACCCATTTTACCTGATTTAAATAATTTAGGCACTTTTCAAGACACCAAAGGCAACAAATGCAAGATTTCAGCACACATCGAGCACAAGCATTTTCCTGGAAAGAATGAAAAATGGAAATAATTAAAGACCAAAGAATCAAACCACATCATACAGAATATTCTAAATTTTAGAAAAATAAAAATTAAGAAAAATCACAACCTATGCTTCAAAGCCTCCACACTCACCCTTTTTTTCCTCAAAATGTAATGGATGAATTATTTTTAATCAGTTCAATTCAATATTTACTTAGTACCTATTGCATACAAGATATAAGGTATATAAGATCAACAAGGAACTTATAATCTAGTAGGAGAAAAAAAAAAGCGCTAAACATAACAACAATTAGAATCAGAATAAGATATAGATACTATTGCTATAAGAGTGGAGAAGAGAGAGAGAAGACATCACTTGGGAGGTGAGAGGACTCAGGGGAGGCTTCTAGGAAGAGGGGGCATTTGAGCTAAGCTATGTAGAAAGGCATGGTATTTCTGCAGTCAAGGACAGAAAGGAGGTTCCAAGGAAGAAAGCGTGTTGAGTCCACACAGAGGAAGAGAAGCACAGGACATTTGGGGAAACTACAGAGTGCAAGAGTGGGAGACAAAAGGGAAGAATTAGATTCTACTAGGCAAGGACTTTGAAAAAAACATTTGCACTTGGACTTAATATCGCTGGGAACTTTGCTACATGCAGAATTGAAGTTCTGGAATTTGCCCACAGAAAGTCCAGAAAAGGGTTTTTCCTTACCTTTCCTTTGAGCTGACTGTGAATGTACATAAGGATCATTCGCGGAATTTTGACTAATGTGATAATGAAAGATCCTTTCGCCACAGTACCAAGGTGATAACGAATAAGGCGATTCACTGATGCCAAAATAGGTGTAAATGGCAAATTCCTTTTATCCCTATATAAAAGACCAAGATGGAAACACAGAAATGGTTTAGAGTCCAAAAGAGTGAAAAATTAGTTCATTTTTCTTATTCTAGCTCTATGACAAAATGGCAAAGTAATATAAATGCTACAGATGTACCATGTAAAATTAATGTTTCATTTCTTTATGGTAGTTTCATGGGGTTCTTATGCTGTAATACTTTAAGTTAAATAAAACTGTGCTTCGAAAGCTCTTATTAGTAAATAGTTATGGGGTTAATTGTAGAATCAGATAATGGAACTTAAAAAGATGTTAGACCTGGCACCTCATTATAATAGAAAACTATAAGGCCTATTGTAGTGTATATTCAGCTATGAAGTTAGGAAAGGAAGTCACAATACTTGTTCTGATCCATACAAATTAAAAAGACTTGTTATCCTTTGATGGACGTTTATATAAAGCAAAAGTTCATAATACACTACTACAAGATTTGTTCTTCTGCTAAATGTAATTTAAGTGTAGCATGACCTGCGGTTCTAATTAATTTTTTGAGAAAGCTACAGAAGAGTATAAAGAAGAAAATAATAACCTCCCATTTTCCTACCTCACAGAATGATCAACTACACATTTTGTTATATTCACTTCCAATTACTTTTTAAAGAAATGGAACTCTTACTGGTCTCAGTTCCATTTCCTTTAGACAAAATCACTTAGATGATCTTAAGTTTTCTTTCTTTCTTTCTTTTTTTAATTGAAGTATAATTGACCTACAACACTATGTTAGTTCTGGGTGTACAACATAGTGATTCAATATTTCTATACATTACAAAATGATCACCACAATAAGTCTAGTTATCATCGGTCACTATACAAAGTTATTATCTTTCTCTTCCTGATTTATTTCACTTAGCATAATACCCTCTAGGTCCATCCATGTAGTTACAAGTTAAGTTATTATCCTTCTCTGTCTGACTTATTTCACTTAGCATAATACCCTCTAGGTCTATCCATGTAGTTACAAGTTAAGTTTTCTGACAAGTATAAATTCTTACCTAGTAAAATAGTATGTTACCACAGCTCCTGCCACAGTCATCTGTTGACAGGCTAGAATAAATTCACTGATCCAAATCAGGCCCACCACATGGTACCACCACATGTATTGCAGAGGCCCAGAAACTCTGAACTCCACAAAGCCTTGGTCATTCTGAACAGCGCTGCCTAGGAAAATATCAAAGAAGCAAAGAAGGAGCACATAAAGCATAAACCAGTAAGTATGGCTATTAAATCTAAGAGATTAATCTAATTTCCAACAATATGTCCCTATGCCCAAACCACTGACATCATGATCACAGTGCTATTACATTAAGGGACAAAAGTAATTATCACTTAAGAACTTGTAAAGACAAACACTGTACAATTAAGCATTTGTTTTCCTCAAAGGCATCACATATAGCTTTTAAAAGTTGTTCTATTTGAATATAGTTTTTTTAAAAAATATTTATTTATTTATCTATTTGGCTGCACTGGGTCTTAACTGCGGCACATAGGATCTTCGTTGCCACGTGCGGGATCTTTAGTTGAGGTATATTGGATCTAGTTCTCTGACCAGAGATTGAACCCGGGTCCCCTGCATTGGGAGCTCAGACACTTAGCCACTGGACCACCAGGGAAGTCCCTGAATATAGCTCCTACCACATTATCAGTTACTTAGTGTAGGCATGAATTTTCAAACACTTCAATTTTTTTTCAGAGGTATTACTTGTCCAATAATTATAGACCTAAATTATTAGCAAAGTACAGAAATTAATATTATTTTCAATTGGTGATGGTGTGCTGAATGGCCAAAGAAGTTACATATAAGCTTACTATCCTTATACCACTCCTCATAATTAATTCCATTTAGACATACATAACCTTTGATATTAAGTATGGCTACAAGCAAGTCGGAGAGTCTAACTGTGAACTGTATCACTACTAGCTCTTCATAGGTTCAGGTCATTTCCAAACTAGAAATTCCCAAGGAAGCAAGTTGATCTTTGGCTATAACTGGAGTTTGAGGCAATTCCAGAGCAGCACTGCATTCATTAGTTCATCTTAGAGTGAATCCAAATGTCTGAGTCAGTACAGGAAGTTACTTCAAATCCATAACCATCTTGAAACTGGATATGATTTCAGGCCCTACCTGGTTTAGACTCACTTTGCTGGGATGTTCTAAAAATCATGAACGGGGAATATGTTATTGAAGAGCCATAACCATTGCTAATTCTGATGGTTGTTAGACCTTAGTCCATAAATGTCTTAAGAATTATATCTCTCTGATGTTTTAAAATATTTTAATGCAAATCAGTTTCATTACTAAAAGAAAGAAGTAACATGTTTTCTTACCGGTAGTGCCAAGAAAGAGAAGTGTCATGATCCAATACACCCAAAACAGGACAAGAGCAAAGAAAGTCCAAAAGGGTTGGAAGACTAGCAGTGGCAAGTGAATGAAAACCTTGCCAGCCACGTGGAACAAGGCGATGGTGAGAGCAACCCGTTTGCGCATGACTAACATTATGAGGAACAAGATAACCTGTAGGAGAGAACAGATGGAAAGATTCCAGCTACTGTTTTAAGCAGTAAAAACAGAAACTGCACAATGGTGGAAAATTTTTAACATAATCCTTCATTCCAAAATGGGGATGTATCATTCTCTGAATCCCAATAACACTTTAACAGTCTGTATCTCTTTTGCAGCCCTTATTTTTCATTATATATTGAAAATGTCTTTTAAAGCTAAACATAAAAGAGTTTCTCAATTTATTAATATATCCTAGATGTATTAATTCTTCTACTTTCCCTTTTTCCACTCGTTATGAATCAAAATGTGTTGTTTGTCATCAGGATGAGACTCTTAATTTATTTAAATAGATACATGCTTCCCACTCTGAAAATAGGGGGAAAAGACGATATGCTATGACCGTGTTGGACCAAAAGCACCTTACAAGCAGGGTCCATGTCAAATGTATCCTTTGTCACTCCCCACTCTGCCCTGGCACCTGGCACAGAGAACTGTACTTAAAAGATGATTAATAAATATTTGTACAATGATAGCAAACAAAAATCTTTTGGCACCAATGGTTTTACGACGGCTTTATTTTTAGTTTCTAATGCTCAATGAAAAGCTTGGGATTGCTCCAGGAAGTGGACTGAGATTTGTTTCCCCCTTTTTTCAGAGAGGAGAAGGAGATGAACCAAAGATATGAATACAGATTATTGAACCACGTGTTAATGAATAATTTTACTGCAATTATTATAATAATTATACTAGTTAGTGAAGCTCACCTCTCTTTTTAAAATAATGTTGTTAAAAGTTTAAAAGGGAAAAATGGGGAAATAATTAGTGAATAAGTAGATGGAATGACACTAGGTAGCCTATTTCTTAATAGACTTTTCTATAATTACACTATCTCATGACAATAAGATGTATGTTCTTACTAGAAAATGATAATTAATATTCTAGGTGAAAATTCCCTCTCAAAAAGCAGGCAGTACACAACAAAATGTCACATAAAATAGCACTCGTCATTTAGGGGAGCCTTCTGAAGCCTTCTGAGTACGTCATACACTGTGGGGCAGAGATTTTATCCAATAGGGATCATGGTTAGGCATGCAATGGCTAAGCGTGAGTTTCTGCTTCATTAATGATCTACAAATAAAAACATAAACCTGAAAGATACACCAAGGCCTGTACTCACTGTGAACACTGTAGCTGAAATGGCATAGATGAGGAGGGCCCGAAGATTGTCTTCAGCTACCTGAAGCTGTTCAGGGATAACTGTTTCTTTGGGAGACTTTCTTTGCTTTGCATATAGCCACCATAGTACACCTGTGCCACCTGCAGACAAAAAAAAACAGTTGTTTTTGCAATAATTGGCACAAGAAAATGTGTAACATAAATCCTCAATTTTCTGGCCCCTTCCTATACACCAACGTGGACTAACACAGCAACAATCCATTTGGCTGGGAGGTGCGTGGCTGTAACTTTTTGCCAGCATAAGGGGAACTCCAATGACTCCACTTACATCTTCTACATTCGGCACTTACAAATCTCTCACTGTATCAAATAAACTTCCTTTAACTGTATTTATTATCCACTCTGAAGCTGAGAGAGAGCCAGCAAGGACAGACACCCCTGAGAGGAACTGGTCACAAAGAGAGCCTCAGCGCCTGCTTAAACTAGGGAGCCTGTGGGAAGCAAGTAAAGGTTACAGAAATCAGCAATGAAGCTGAGGAAGGCAAAGATCTTCTCTGTTGTACAGTAACCCCAATGCCTAGTGAGGATACACTCGTGCAGTTGATGAAATATTTGTACAATGAATAAATGAAGATCAAATGAGTAGGTCCCACCAAAGGTAGGAACAAAGATAGGAAATCTTTTAGCTAGTGGGAAGCAGCCACATAGCACAGGGAGATCAGCTCGGTGCTTTGTGACCGCCTGGAGGGGTGGGATAGGGAGGGTGGGAGGGAGGGAGACGCAAGAGGGAAGAGATAAGGGAACATATGTATATGTATAACTGATTCACTTTGTTATAAAGCAGAAACTAACACACCATTGTAAAGCAATTATACTCCAATAAAGATGTAAAAAAAAAAAGAAAGATAGGAAATCTTTGATAGCTGGAGAGCGGTGGGCACTAGGGATGGGAATTTTTATCTCCATGACTGGTTCAGAGATTCTGAGATCTAGACTGAAGAGGGAGGCAGACCTGCCTCCATATAAGAGAGCTGCTTTGGACACCTTCATTCAACCCATTCGACAAACACTTTGAGTGCCTACAGCACCTACTGTTCTAGGGGCTGGGGACAGAGCGGTGAAAAACAAACATCAACTCTCATGCAGCGTATATAGTAATGGGGAAACAAAAAAAACAAGGAAACAAGTGAAAATAGAGTATATTAAATCTAAGAAAAAAGCTGCCAGTAAGGGATAGAAAGTGCTAGCGCTGGGAAAGCATTACAATTTTATATAAGCAAGGCCTCACTGGGGTGAGACGATATTTGAGCAAAAGAATCAAAGACAGGGAGAAAGCAATCTTTGAACCTATCTAAGAGTGTTCCAGGCAAGAGGAAATAGCAAGTTCTAAGATGCTGATATGGGCCATGCCTGGCAGGCAAGAAAAGAGGAGGCCACTATAGCTACAGCAATGAGCAATGGGGAAAGCAGTAAGAGATGTGTACAGAGAGGGAGCTGGGCACCAGATCATACTGCAAGGCCTTGTAGGCCACGGTAAGGAAATGGAAGATTCAGAATAGAGATGTGTATGTATAGGTGGATGAGATGAATGCCTGGGAGAGAAGCAACTGGGCTGAGATCTATGCAAATCAACCTGACCTCCATGTGCTCTCAAGTCAAGAGTGAATGGTGTCAAAGGGAAATTCCAACTACCTGTTGGCAAATATTAAGCATGAATTTTTCTTCTATGGAAGATGATTAAACAAACCAAAAAAACCATGAGTCTATGAAAAATATTTCAGAGAAAGGGAAAGGCTACTTCCATTTTGGAATCTTGAAGGTACAAGAAAATTGTTTGGAAAACTGTTTAATATCCTCAAAAAATGGAATAAAATACGTTCTCTACGAACAGAAATAAAAAGTTGAGAGAAAGCCTGAAGTTCAAGGAAAATAGAATGAGATAATAATGATGACATCAAGGGCATTGTTCATAACATCAACAGTAGATATCATTAATTAAACATTTAAACTTGTGCCAGGAATTAGCACAAATAGTTGCAACCACATTTAAACACAATGCTATTAAGTGGGTATTATCAGCTCCACTTTGCAAATGATGAAATTGAAATTTAGGAAATTTCAGCAGCATGCCAAATGTCACATACTTGGTAAGTGGGAGAGCTGGGATTCAAATCTACTTTTATTATAAAAGCTATCCATCTGTTATGAACTGAATGCTGTGTCTCCCCAAAACCCATCTACTGAAATCCTAATCCCCAATATGGTGTATTTGGAGGTGGGGCCTTTAGAAGATGATGAGGCCATAAATGTGGAGCCCTCATGAATGGGATTAGTGCCCTTATAAAAGAGACCCCAGAAGGCTCCTTCCCTCTTCTGCTATGTGAGGACACAGCAATCAGCTGGCCGGAAACAGGAAGTTGGCCCTCACCAGATGCCGAATCTGCTGGTGCCTGATCTTAGACTCCCCAGCCTCCAGAACTGTGAGAAATAAATGTTTTTGTTTATAAGGCATCCAGTCTGTGGTACTTTGTTACAGCAACCCAAACTGACTAAGACATCATCTAAACACAGAATTAGATTTGAAGGCTACAAACTGAAATGAAAAGGAAGATAGCTGAGAGAAGGAAGACCTACAAATAAGATGAAATTGGAATAACAAAATTAAGTAGTCAAGTACAGACTGACACCAAGGAAAACAAAATCAGTGATATGGTAGATAAACTTGAAGAGTTCTTCCTGAATGTAAAGAAAATGACAAAAGGATTAAAATGATAATTTAGAAGATGACAGCAGGAGAGTTAAGAAGGATCTTAAAGAGAAAACCACCAGCATGGAAACAAGAAACAAGTATAGAAATAAAGTAAACTTTTCAAAGTTGAAAAAGATTCCCCCCAAAAGAGAGATCACAGGCAAACTAAGATTCTGAACTAGACAAAAATTTTAAGTTGTAAGGATAAGTTAAAAATTATATAAACATCTAGGTAAGTGAGATAGGTTATGGGCACAGGAACAAAATTTAGGCTGGTCTCAAAGTTCTTCTCTGAAATGAAGTACAGACATAAGGCAATATACTGTATCTTAAGACTTTTATATGCAACAAATTCAATATTCACATGTGAAGGCAAAGGCAATCTTAGATAACCAAGAATTCAGAATATTACAACCCATAAGTCTTTCATGAATAAGTTACTTGAACTCAGATTCCAGTCAAAACAAATATGAACTGAAATTTAGAACTCAAGAATGAACTTTTATAAAAACAGGACCAGTATAACTGAACCACTTTGCTGTACACCTGAAACTAACACAATATTGTAAATCAACTATACTCCAATATAAAATAAAAATTAAAAAAAAAAATAAATAAAAACAGGACCAGTAGTTCTCACTAAAATCAGGACAGGAGAACTTAAATAAACATAATTATGAAACTTCTCAAGGCAAAGATGAGCAAAATTCTTTGAAAAGATATAGTACAACAAATAATATTTTAAGTTTAATAATAACCTGAATACGAACACTCAGAATATTTAACAAGAGCTAAAAAGTGCGAGTGGGCAGAAGAGAGTAGGATTAGACAGGAAGGAAAGTTTATGCTAAATTTAAAGTGGGGGGGGAACCTCAACAAGTATTGTTTCATTTCAGTCTTTAATAATTATAGAATTCTAGACTGAAGAATATTTTCTGAAAATGTATAGGTTACCAACTGAAGAAGTGAAAATAAAATTATACCACCAAAAGCCAGGGTGAAAATAACCAAAGAAAACACAATTCCATACAGCAAAGATAGGGAAAGCAAAATAAGGAAGCATAAATTTAAGGAAAGCAAAACAGATGACATCAGTAAGACCAAACACACCAGGTAAACGTAATGGTGGCAAATTCTGCTACTGAAAGAGTTTCATATTGGGTTAAAACGTTTTTATACTACACACGCACACACACACACACACACACACACACACACACACACACATGCATACATATATATGTGAATATCAAGGTCTGGATTCCAAATGCTAACACTGGTGAACTGAAGGTGGGTCCCTATAATTATGACATTTCTAAAGGCAAAAGTAAATACTCTTTAAAGAGAAGATGTAGCATGTGAAATAAAACTTTTATTTTCTTTCCTATATTTCTATTTTCTACCATGGAAGTAGTTAGATACCATGAGTAGGTATGACATTTATAATTGGGAGGGGGAAATTTTTTTTTAAAGACAATAAACACAGAAAACCCAGAAGGTTTCATTAGAAACACTAAAATAAAAACAAAATAGAATGTCAACAGACAGAAAAATGAGTAACAAAATTTTAAACACACACACGTACACACACACCCCCGCCCCCAACAGAGTTATCCTGCCAGGAACACTTTTCGACCAGAAAGAATTTCAACACCTTAGAATGGCTGATTTAGACCTTAAAAAAGTGCAAGATAAAAAGAAAGGGTCCCTTCACTTGCCAGGCAGGGAGCACTGGAAGAATCAAGTGAAAATTCAAAAGCAGGAGCAGAACAGAGGCTCAATTCCTTTCTTTTCAGTTGTACTCTCCCCCTCAAACTGATATTGACAGAAAAACGTTAGTCCCCTTTTAAAAATATCACTTGCTCTTATTCCAAAAGCCACTGACCTTCCCATTTTATTTGATTTAGTGATCTCACAGTGAACTACCTGTCTTTACCTGTCTTTACATTTTATCAATGAATTCACAGGCCTTACAAGAGGAAAATTATTTAAAATAACCAAAATAGTTCTGAATTGAGGGATTGTTAAAGGCAAACTTCAACTCTCAATTCTAATTACTAAAAAACAAAGGAATAAGCAGCTTACCAAGTGAACCCAGGATGAGCAGAATTGTTAAGATCCACACAAGTATTCTTGATATATACCTGATTATCACCATCAAAATCATGGACAGAACTACAGGGAAGATAAAGAACACACAGAATATCATTTGAAAACTTTAGAAAATATAAAGAGAAACTCTTTCAATTGTTTTCTCCTAGGGAAATAATTTGTTGCTATTGACAAATTCATGACTCCAATTTAGGTAAGAAAGGAAACTGGCTGCTTTTGTACTTTGACTTTGGTACTTGTACCACTTGAACAGCATCACTTAAAACTAAAGGCACCTAACTGGGTTTATAAATGACAGAAAAGAATACATGCAAATGTATATGGTGACTCAAAAACAGCGCAGAACTGTTGTGGATTTGCCACAGGAAGACACGAGAACTCACATGCAAACATAGATGCCGACACACAAAGTGTAGAGAATGACGTGCTATGTTGGTGACCGGAAAAATTACCACATGTAGACAGAGATCAGTTAAATTAGGTGCTACACTTCCTTGAGTCACCTATGCGTTTCAGGACCAACTTCTCTGATGTTCGGTCAACAAGCCAGATGGTATATTATCTTTTTCTAGTTGTTTCTCCTCTAAAACTCCAACAGATGGTCTGACCCTATAGAATAATATCCTGAAAACTACTGAAGCCAAAATTCCTCTGACGTTACTTCTCAACTGAGGTCAGGGGTCCTGACTAAGAAGCTCTTCAAAAAAGGAGCAAAGCTTAGTTTGAGTTATTTAACCAACTCCTCTACCCACCCCAAGCTAAATTCCAAATGCCAAAATCTTGAGTGAAAATCTCAAAAGAAACTGAGATTTAACCCTTGCACAGGGAAATTCATTTCTGAAATCATAATTTGTTCATCTTTAATATCTAAAGTAAAGTCCCATTTCACAAACAAATGAATAAAGATCTTAAACCTCAAAAGAAAACCATTCTAATAAAAAATGGAATTCCAATGGCTTAACAACATTATTAACACTATTTTTAGGTTTGGATTTTTTTTTCTTGGTTCAAGTATTCAACTATTTCAGAAATCAAAAAATTTTTATATAAAGCTAGACTAATAATCAAGTTTCCTTGGACCATTTGCAAAGCCAAATAAATGGTTGGGATCTGTTACTAGGTAACATTATTAAGGTACTCACATTTGCAATAAATGTACAGGAACCAAAAACAGATGGGAGCGTTTCAAATATCACAGAAATAGCTTTTCATATGGACAGCATTATTTCAACTGAGTCAAGTACTACCTAAGCAAAAAGAAAATACTCTCTAATGACAAGACAGAAATATAGCTAGACTTCTCAATGACTATAATTGGTGTTAACAGGCATAAACACTCATTTTACTTATATAACAAAAGAGTTGTTTGGTTCCTACTACAGTTTACTTCTCCCAACTAAAAAAGTCTATAAATTCTCATATGGCTACATATAGTTCTAGGATAATATAGGGAATTTACATCTTGAAAATAAAATTTATTTGCTTTTATTTATTTTATTATCTATTTATTGACCAAAAATTAAACGGCTAACAAGTGGAGATTTCCTACTTTTTCAAGCAATACAGATATTAATTGTAGGAATGAAAAAAATTATATAATCCAAACATAATATATCAGAAATCTATGCTCTTTGATGGAAATATAAAAGAGAATATATAGCCTCTTTTTATAAGCAAGTAAGCCTTTTGGAATCAAAACTAAAAACAAAGGGGTGCTGATAATAGAAACCTCCTATTATCATATTAAAGGTTATTATAGACTTTGTAATCAAAGTTTGGGAATACACCAGTTTTCTCCAATGAGAGAAAAAGAAGGGAAATGAGTTTCAGATATATTATATTCTTTTTAAAATATGTATCTATTTATAACTATATATATTCTGAAACAATTATTTTGGCTATGGGAAGTTAAACAATTTACAAGTATCCCCAGCAGTATTCATATTTTGGTTAAAAGAACAGTCTTCTACTGCAGTACTATGCAATAGCTAATAATGAGAAAAACAATTACCTAGTGATAACAAGCAAAGTCCCAATATAATTTCTTTGCTGGTCATTACTCCACTAATCAGCCTGTGTAAGACACTATTGTCACTGACAAAGGTGATCAGGGCCTCTGCAAACTTGGCATAGCAGGAAATGTTCACAGGAGCACAGCGATGGAAGAATGGAATAGGTGCACTGGTGACACAAGAAAAAAAAATCAGAAAAAAAATTACTCCTACTTAATATAAATGCCACATCAAACACACAAATGAAAGGTGAATATGACTGCAATACAGTCCACCCTCCACACATCATATGGGAACTAAGAGCTGTGAGCTTAATGCTATGAAAATGACCGTCATGGGGCATGATGCACATCTTACCACAAGCCTTATCAAAGAGGGTGGAGTGCATATTCCAACAGAAGACATTACCCTCCCCTTCTGAAAAGAAACACACACACATATACACACACATACACAGCTACTAAAAGCAAAACCAAACACTTAAACTCCTCAGCCTACACATCTATCAATCAAGGGGCAGATGGCAAAACTTACAAACGTATACTTCATTGAACTGAAAATGAATGTTTGCTATAAGCTATCTAAAAATAAAAACAAACATACTTTTGCTTGAAACATGCCACCATTAATTTGCCACCATTAATATTTCTTCTCTCAGAACAGCATACAAAACCTTAGATTAAAAAAGGTATTTGGGGCACAAGCTTAATAACTCATACAAAGTAGTCATACCAAGACATCAACATACAGCATAATATGCAGCTATTTGAAACAATAACTTTGAATACTAATGTATGGAAGAACTTATGATTTAACAGTACAAGGGAAAAACCCTAAAATTGATATCTAATGTGATGATTACATCTCTGTATAAAAGATATATACATAAGAATGAGAACAGGAAAAAATATAAAGAAATGAAAAATCTCTGATTTGTTAGGGTCATGGGATTCTGGGCCATTTTCTTTTCTTTTTGTATGTTATTATTATTATGAGATTATTTGTGTCCAAAAGAAAGAGGGAATCAATTATATCACGTTTACACTGACTGCAGCTTTCACTTGTGAAGGAACATAGCTACGTATAAACCGTGACATAAATATAACTTGTTATAACATGGTTCTATTTTAGCTTCTGAGAACATGTATGCACTAATCAGTGAGAGATTTTAAGCAAAGCTCTATGAGCATGCCCTCAGTTGTGACTTGTTTGGATTCTAAAAGAGCCCATACATGCGCCTATGCACAAACACACATTTATGTGTGCATTAAGTTAAAATTTAGTCATTACTAACACGAATCCCACATTGTCAGAATTATTTGTAGGACTATCAGTCACAGTCTAACATAACACTTTTGACTGGACTGAAATAAGTGTGTTCTCATTCCTGATTGGCACTGTGTTTTGGTCAAATTAGTGAATAAGATTACATGGTTGAACACCAAATAAAATCCCAAGGTTTCTAATCTCAGCAAAGCAACTTTGTATAACCCAAAGCAAAACACTACCTTTGTTTCCTTCCTCAAAAAACAATTAGAATATTTCTTTTCAAGTAAGAATATAAGTGAACTATATATTGATTTTCCTTAAATGTTGGTACATGAGCACCGTTGGGAGTAAGAATAAGCAACATCTTCCGTGATGTTAAACTTCATGGAGCAATAAAATAATATAATTTTAAAGATCTAGCCTTACCTTAGTTATGCTCTAAAGTAAAATGTATCCAAAAATGATGATGACATACATGTTCATTTTTTTAAAATTGCCTCTTGTGATGTGTAGGTGTATTTGTATACACCTCCAAAATGGTGTTGGTGAAAGATAATACCAAAGATCTGATATTTTGTCACAAAGTGCAGAAAGCCAGAGCATTCTGAGTAATGCTTGAATTACAGGTATGTAAGTCACCATTTTTTGACCAAAAGTTATTTTACTAATGATTTAAAAAGACATTAAATTACAGAATACTTTTAGGTGATATGGATTTAGTTAGAAATATTACAGGAAAGAATGAAAAAAGATTAACTAGAAGTTCCTACTCAATGGAGGCTAACTTGGGACAGAAACCTTTAAACTTGACAACTGTGTTGTGACCTACAACTATTTTTTTCCTGATACTGTCTAGATACTGTCCCTGCCAGGTTAATGTCCCTGTCTAAGGACTTTTAACCATATTTTAACTAAAAGGCTGGTTCTCTGTCCTTCAAAACTAAAGTTCTCTCTGCTCCATGACTGTCTACCTCTTCATCTGCTTTATTACCCTACATCTCTGATGTCATCTCAGTTTAACTCACTTGCCTCCAACCTTGAACATAAGATACATCCACCTTAAGGATACTGATGTTCTGTTTTCAATACCCACCCATTTTTTTGGTCCTGCTCCCCTGTTTCCTTTTTCCTGTCATATAAACGTAAACTTTATCCTCTGTCCAGAGGTGGCTCCACTTAAATCTCCCATATCCTAACAGGATGTTGATGTATTTTTACACTCAAATAGAAATATACATCATTTCCAAAAGAGAGTGGAACTTGTGATAAAGAAAAGAAAACTGGACTTGGGTTCAAAAGCCCTGAGTGATTCTCCTAACATTACACAGGTCACTTCATCTCTCTTTCTCTGTCCCTCCTTCTGTTAGCTGAAAGGGTAGAAGTAAGTCCTCTATAAGTCTTTTCACATCTTAATAATAATAATAATGTCCACCCATAAATCAATGATTCTAAATTAGTAGAAGCAGGATGCCCAGTAGCTTTAGTATTTTTCTGCTTTTCATACTTATAATGAGAATAGCTGATTTGAAAAGGGAAGGATTATAGTCTTAAAATTCTAATCCTTCATTTGTATTTAAGAGGAAAAGCTGAGTAATATCAGTTTTGAACTTACGCTTTCAAGTCATTTGTCTGCTGTATATAAACACTTGGCCAATTAGAAACAGTACTTTTACAAATATCTTTCAAAGAACTGGAATAAAATAACAGTCCCTTGCCTTATAATTCAATCTATGTCAGTTAAAAAAACCTGACAGCTCTAAATTTAAAGGTATAAAAATAGCACAAGCTGATTACACTGTTTAGCTGATGGTCAAAATGGTCAAAAGCTGCTCTTAGTGGTAAGGAATAACAGAAATAGAAGGCAAACAAGACCGAAGATAATATTTGGACACAACAGCAAAAATGAAATTAAATACTTAGCTTTAAAGTGAAAAGTACTAGATTCCCTTGTCATTCTTTTTCTCAACTCTTTCCCAAACAGAAACAACTTGACTAGTCATGAATTATTTTGTTTGAATTATTTTATTTTATTATTTAAAAAAATTTTAGTAATCATGGCATTGAAATGGTTTGTCTTATATTTTACCATTTAAATCCCATGTGATATGATGAATTTAAGATGTTACCTGATTTCATATACCTCTCAGAAAATAACCCTTCTGAGAACCTAGTATATGAGATCACTGCTACTTTAGTGTCTAACCTAAATGACACACTCTGTGCTTCTTAATTAAGAAAACGAGCATAAAGTATTCTATTTGCAGTAAGTTTTTCTACCTTTTGAAGCCTACAGAATATTGAATCTTTAAGAAGTCAGTGCTGTCTCATTAGGAACCGATGCTGTTTCACTTTATTGAAACATTAGTCAACAAGAACAAAATGAATTTATAATGAGTCTTTTAAAGATTTTTTAAAAATTAGCCACTCATAGGAAAATTGTATCTTACCTTGGCAAACATATTGCCCATTTGCCTTTTAGTCCAGACTATCACAGTTAATGAGCTCCCTCAAAGTATGATGACAAACAATGCCTAATATCTTGTCCATATGCCTTTGTAAGAGAAGATAGGAGTTTGCACTTCACACAATTATCTTAAAACTTCAGGTTATAAATAAGCAATTACATAAGACTTCTCATTAAAAGTTTTATTTAAAAAAGAATAAAAATAAAGGGTTTTGGCAATATCTCTATAGCACAGCAAAGGCAGGAAATAAGTAATCAAGAATCTAATGGCAATGTGCAGTGATTTTCACACATTTCATTTTATTTCTTTTCTCTCCTCTTTCATTCCTATTATCCCTTTTTTCCCTTTAAACTAACAATGGTATAGACTTGACAAGACCTTAGATTCAAATTCTGATTCCCAACAATTAGTTGTGTGGCCTTGGGCAACCCATTTAACCTCTTATTTTCTATTTCCTCATCTATAAATTAGGGACAGTATCCTTATAGGCTTTTGTGAGGGTTAAGTGAGATAGTACATATGAGAAACATAATATTGTACTTGGCATCCAATAGATGATTTATAAATGTTAATTCACCTTGAATCCTTCACTTAGAAAATATAGATAGATCATATTTTTTTCTTGGCTATTATTTTCTTATTTCCATATCATGTTAATTCCTCAACACCAAGTATCCCTTCTGGTATCTGGAAGTACCAAAATAAATGTTTGATGAATAAACTGAACTTACGAAATCTGTTTCTAGTATTGCAACTTTTTCTAGCTATACCCAAACCTTTAAGCACTGTAAGTATAAGGGCTGGCTAGACTCCCTGTTGCTACTATGTTTAGCATGTCACCAGTAGAGTTCTGAATTTGGATACAATATGGCCCTTTCTAGGCATCTGCTTTTAAAATTCAAAAGCTCTTAGGAATAGTAACCATTTGGAAATTATGTGGCACTAATGTTTTATTGCAAATTAGTTTACAACTGCTTTTCTTTAAAACAGGCACCTTCAGCTGCAGAAGGTTCCTGGGTACCCAGGAAGGTTGGAAGGCTCTCGAAGTTGAGACAAATAATAGTTCCTAAGCCAAATGCCAAGCACAATAATGAATATTTAACACATATTATCTTACTTAATTCTTATAACAATTCCATGGGAGAGGTACTGATAGTCCCATTTTACATATGAGAAAACCTGGTTTACTGAGGGCTTAACAGACTCACTTAAGCTGACAAATAGAAAGTGATAGCACAGAATTCAGCCCCAGGCCTATCTGGACTCAAAGTTCAGTTCTTTCTGTCCCACTCCTGTGCTCCCAGGGGGACAGCAAAGGAGACATAAAAGATGCTGAGGGCCATTTGCCTGCATCACAGGTTTGCCTAGTGCTGGTCTTCTGGTGCATATAGAAAAGTCAATCAAAGCATAGTCCCTACTCTTTTTAAGGACAGAGTTTCTTAAGGACAGAGACTAGAACTTACTCATCTTTGGAGATTTGGTATCTAACATAACACTGTGTGTGAAACAGGGTAGTGCCCTAAGTTTTTTATTAAAACAAATTTATTCTTGTTTTTTGATCCTTTCACTTTGCCAAATACCAGATGATGATATTTACAAGATCTTGATTTGCCTTCCTTCTATCACCTGTTGCTTCTCTTTTACCTTCCAACAATGTGAGTTCAGACAAAAGTGATAGACTGTGAACTACTAAGATAAGGAAGATGTGAGGATCTTTAAATACAGTATAAATATAGTATATAGCTGGTTTTCACATGGTTTAGGTTCATCATTGCATCTTGGATTACTAAAACATTAGTGGATAACCTTGTTAGAAGCCGAGCCTGTCCATATCTAAAACCCAAGCCCCTAATACTACGTTTTGTCTCCTAGTGAATGCCCTTAGGATGCTGTATGTGAGACGTCCATGAGTGTGCAGCCAAGACTGGATCACCCAGTATAACCAGGAACAGGCAGTCCTCAACATGGTAGAGTCAGAGGTCAGAGGTGCCGGAGGATTTGAAGTATGAACTGCCCACCCATATTATACTCGAGCAGAGCAACCTCATTCTCATACCACGGTTTCTGGTTATCCTTTTATAATATACTTATGCCTTAAAATAGTGACTCTATACTCAAAGTATGCATTTAAAATAGGCTTTAGCAGTTGAATAGAGAACAGAGCTTTTCTTGATTTTACATTGATAATTTTCTCTATTCAAAGAACCTCCTTTCTTTACTGTCTCAGCCTCCCTAATAGTCTCAATTTTCATGAATGGAGTTTCCCTACCTACTGGTCTAAGCCCATAATTTGTAGGTCCCTCCTACTTAGTATTTTTTAAAACAGTCCCATTATTTTTATGTCTGTAGGCTTTAAATTTTAATTTCAATAGCAACCTGACAGGACTAAAGGAGCTGGAAATCAATTAAACTGATATATCCTTTGTCGACTTTCCAACAGAAAATTTCAAATTCAAGTTAATAAAGCACAAGTAACACCCATAAGCAAGTTGAAGGAAAGGAGACATAAGAATTTTAACTAATAGCTTGCTATAACATACTGAGATACAGTAAAAAGTGGTTTTGATTCAATATTCCTGGGAAATACTCATGTCATACATGGTTAGTGATATATGCTAAGGTTCTCAAGATCAGACATGCTCCAAAAACTATATACCTAATTCTGAGGATATATTCCACAATGCTTGAGAATTTATTTCCTTTTAAAAAAAAATCAATTTATAATTTTAAAATTTGCTTTACTTAAAACTACTGTGAGATCCTTCCAAACAAAGAACATTTCTTGTTTCATCTTTGCATCCATTGCACGCAGTAGGTATTTAACAATAAATGTTTGTTGATTAAGACAAACAGCTTACTATAGAGAATGTACCTAAAGGATATAGCTTGAAATAAACTATGGAGAATAATCATTGGCATATTTTTTAAACTTACAAAGAAAATTTTAAAATAATACCAGTAAGTATGACCAACTTCAAAGAATCTTCGGAGAGTGTGAGACTTGGCTTCCAATTTTGTTGTGGGTTTTATAATGATTCAGCAGCTTTGTATACTTAAAAACTATGGCATTAAAAAAAAAAAAAAAAAACAGTGCGCCCCCAAAAGAAATTTAAAATAGCTGAGAATGAGAAAAGTAGTTTGCCTGTGTGTGTGTGTTTTAAAATGATGTGAAATTCACAATGTCATTTCTATTACTACTTTTAAAATTTTGTTGTAAAAGTACTGAAACTGGGCAACAGGTATCATCAAGTGACTCTTTTCTCAGAAAAACATATACAGTTTAAAATCGACCTACAAAAACAGAAGTCACAAGTTAACAAAATACAATAACATTTACCTCGCTGGAACAGGTAGTTTGGGGCAAAGAACAGAAGCTCTTGATGATGTAGTATATTCAGAAGGCTTTAGGTTGTAGCTGCAGAGCGCTGAGCCTGTTGAAAGAAAAGCTATATGTTAGCTAGTAGAACAGAGTCCGAATAAATTCTTCCATTAATTCACTTTAACTTTATTTTATAGGTTAATATTAACTCAACATATACAACTTTCAAACATTATAGAATTAATAAAAGTCTGATTTGGTCTATAGTATCAATTCTCAATCATTTGAAACAGATTTTTCTCTGGTAACTTATATACAAATTTTAATTAATAATATTAAGGGTAATAACAATAAGTACTAGAGCTACTTTTATTGAGTGCCATATATCAGGCCCTATACAAGATGACATACAAATACACATATATTTTTTTTAATAAAGAGTCAACTTTTCATTGTAACTGACCAAACTGTGTCTAGGAATGTCTTCAAACAACAGAACCAAAGAAACATGATAAAAATATCCTCTTGAAGAAACCAACAGTTTTTGCCAGCCCCAGTGCTTCTGAGGGTTAGACTGAAAGCAGCCCATTCCTGAGGCTGGTTCTCTTCCCCACGCCAAGAGGAGGGCTGGGATAGATAGAGGACCTGGTCTTTCCTCCTATTATGCAGTGGGGTGAGCCTCTCCTCTCAACATATATATGAATTATATCATTTACTATAACTCCATTAGGCAGGCCTTTTTTAAGCCCACTTGACAGAGGAGAAAATAGAGGCTAAGAGACAAGGTAAATAACTTGTCCAGGGTGACATAGCTGCTAAGCCAGTAATGCTGGGGTTAAACCCTAGATCTCTTTGACTACGAAACCCATCTTCAACTACACATGCCATCTCTCCTTCTGATGCTATCCATTACTAAATATTTAAAATTATTGCATATAGCACATATGCATTCAGATAATATATTACTTTTTCCTTATTTAAAAGGCAGGAAACAGTAACTGTAAATAAACTGAATTAATTGATAAAATCAATAAATTGATCAAAGGATTCCCTGCTTTCAGATAGTTTAAAACAGCTTAAATTCAGTCCTAGATTGGTTATTCTCTGACTACATGGCTAATATATATCTAAATAATACATAAAATTCAAATGGATACAGTACACCCTATCTTTGATAAGTCTTATTTAACTGACCTGCTAATTTTATAACATAGCAACTAGAATACTGTGAGATTCATTGTACAACAGATATTGTTAACTAAGGAGATCTAGGCTTTAGTTCTAATTTTGCTGAGACCTACTACATTATACCATGTAAACTGTATTTCATTAATTGAAGTGCTTATGAGGTTACTAATTTGGTCAAATACTTCATTATTAAATACAAATAGAATAGCTTTGCATTTATATCATAGCAATAATGAGATTTTGCACTGTATCACCATGGAAAATGTTTAAATTATAATGTGAAGGTAGACTTTAACATTGGATTAATTATGAAAACATCATGTGAGGATGTGAGAAGGAACTAGAAGGGAATATAGAAAAAAAGATTTGTTGGGACAACAAAATTGGGAGATTTGTTTCATTTATATCTGGTCCTTTCAATCAAAAGCACTTTTAGAAAGCCACAAACCTGCATTTAATTCAGTAATGCTGCCCCTAAACCAGCAACCAACTTGCTAAGTGTTTGAATATGTGGGTCTTAATAGTACATTTACATAAATACATGTAGCATCATTTTATATAAAAATAATTCAAGTAACTTGACAGTGTAAAATATTTTTAAAGAGATACTTGAAAGTTACATGGCACTGTTCTTCAAGCTTCTTCAGCTCTTAAGATAGACGCAATGGAAAACTAAGTTTCTAAAATTGTTTTCAATCATTCTCTTCCATTTTAATGACTTTCTTTTTTTTAAGTTAAACATGAATATTAAGCATCTAACTCTTCTAAAATTAGGCTTTTGTGTTTAAAGATAATGCAACTAGATACTATTTATAGCAATTTTAGAGAAAATATGACAGCAATGGCAAGCAAACATCTTAGATTAATTCTAAAATAACTGGGGGTCCTATTATAGAATTGCTCATGAAAAAATAGCAACTGTGCCAATAACTGCAGAGCACCCAACGTGATCATCAACTTCCTGATCTGAATTGCCAACTTACTTCTTTCAGAGTCCAAGATGGAATCGATTTGCACAATATAAAAGGCCCTAACTAAAGCATACTGTGTCAGTGCTGTTAAACACACTGCTCCATCTGAATTCAGTGAACATAATCTCCATCCCCACCCTTTTTTCATTTAAAAAAGGAGGTCAGCAGGTGCAACAGAGTTCAATTTTATAAAGACTTTCCCAGGATAATGCTCAATGAAAGGATAATAGCCTTATCTCTGATGGTATTCTGGGACAGAGGCCAGTACTAAATAGATCCTGTACTAAATAGATTAAAGAAAAAAGATCTTTACAATGTGTTAGTAGTAACAATCAGAAGAAACCTTATATTGCTTCCTGCTCAAAGGGTTCATGGACAGAGAAGCCTCAATGAAGAACATTAAAACAACCCAGAAATGGCCAACGTTTTACAATTGTTTTTCTTTTCATGTTTATTAGCTAATGCATTTTTAGTGAACTCTTTTAAGGTAGTATGTATTTTATTATTTTTTAATAGTAGAAGTATAAACATATGATGTTTGGTTATAAACAGCAAGACAACATTTTTCTTCTAATGCAGAAAGCAGGGAAAAACCGTGCTAGGGTAATGAAAAGTCTGAAACAAAAAAAAAAGCTTGTCTAAACCACACCAGAGGCAATCCATGCAATTCAGCCAGTGTTATTCAAAGGCCAACAGAATGAGTGATCTTAAGAACCTAACTTGGGTATATAAACATTTATCTTGGTAAACAGTTGCTATAGTCCCCAGAATGTTTAACTACTACAATATATCAAATGCCTTTTAATAGTCAATTATTTATTCTTTAGCTCAATATCACTTATAACAACACCCCTAAGAGGTATGTTTCCATTGCCATGCTCCAAACATTACAGATGAAAAAAATAAGTCATACTTCCAAGGCCTTTTAAGCAATCACTGGCAAACTACTAAGAAACAGAGTTCTTTACTCCTAGGCTACAATGCTTCTTCTGTGTCTTTTCTAATAATCATAATCAGACACGTATTCAATAAGCTCCTGGGCAAAAAACATATGGTCCACAGATACTGCAAAGATAACATGTTTGAGAACAGTTTTTTCCATCTCTCTAAATCTGCTGTCTCCTCCCGTGTTAATTCTACCCTGGTTAATGGCTCCACCACCCATAAAATCCCCAAGATGAAGTGTGGAAGTCATCCTATATCTTCTTAATCTACATCTTCCATCTACGTCTTCCCACACTATTCAAAACATTCAAGATACCAAGTCCCAACAATCAGATCTTTCTGTGTTATTTCAGACCATCACAATCTCTTATTGGGTCAGTTAAACTATTCTCTCAGAGGGTTTCTTAACTCCATCCTGTGTACAACCTTCAGAATGATTTCTGTAAACTGGGCATTAGTTGTATTACATCCCTGCCCTCAGGAAAATTCCAAACTCCTTGGCTTCAAGGTCCTCCTAAGGCAGGCCTCTTCCTAAAACTCCAGCCTCATTTAAGCATAATAAACTACTTATAATTCTTGCTGTTTCACAAACTTCCAAGCTTTTCCACATGCTGCTCCCTCTGCTTGGGCTGTCCTTTCCTAACTAGCATCTGAAAGTGTTCCAAGTTTGAGCAGAATTTCTACAAACTACTCAAGCTTTACCTCCTCTGTCAAGTCTTCTCTGATGCACCCAAACAAAGCTATTTACTTCTTAGTTCTATTATAAAACTTAGCATATTAGTTTACAATTTTTTAGTTTACATATCATCTCTATCTTTAGAATGTGAGCTCTTTGAGAACTGGGACCTTATGCCTTCAAAATATCTGGAACTCCTATCTCCTGGCATACAGAAAGCACTCAAAAGCCATCTGGTAAATAAAACAGACAGAAATAACTACTTTTAATCTCTTATATTTCGGTGTTACATGTTATATATAATGATATATGCTTTTCAACATTGACTACAAAGTACACTATCTGAAACAGGATTTCTAAACCATGGTATTAATACAATTCTTGGGCAATTCTTGGTTGTATGGGGCTGTCATGTGCATTTGCAGGATGTTTAGCAGCATCCCTGGTCTCTATCCACTAGATGCCAGCAGCCTCCCTGTAACCTCTCACCCAGCTGTGACAACCAAAAATGTCTCCTGACACTACTAAATGTCCTTGTGGGGGTGGGGGTGTGGGGGTGGGCAGCAGTGGCAGGTGCAAAATCACCCTTAGTTAAGATCTACTGGTCTAAAACATCAAATTATTTGAAACAAAGAATTGGCAAGTTGGAGGCTAATTCTTGTTTAAAATTTTTGTTTGATTTGCTATCTCAGTAATATTTGTAGGATATACAAAGAGAAAAAAATACTACTTAAAAAACATGCTTTAGGACTTCACTGGTGGTGCAGTGGTTAAGAATCCACCTGCCAATGCAGGGAACACGGGTTTGAGCCCTGGTCCGGGAAGATCCCACATGCCGCAGAGCAACTAAGCCTGTGCGCCACAACCACTGAGCCCACGTGCCACAACTACTGAAGCCCGTGCGCTTAGAGCCCGTGCTCCACAACGGGAGAAGCCACTGCAATGAGAAGCCCATGCACTACAACAAAGAGCAGTCTCCGCTTGCCTCAACTAGAGAAAGCCTGCACGCAGCAACAAAGACCCAATGCAGCCAACAATCAATCAATCAACCAATCAATAAAATTAAAAATAAATAAAGAAAATCTTTTGATGCAGAACAGTTTTCATTATGAAAAACAAATTACATTGCTATGAGAAGTTTAATTAATTTAACCCCTTTCTCTCTAGTTAGGAAAGCATTATATATTTATATGCCAGAAGAAAGCAAGACAATTTTCCAATTTCAATTTCTAGTAACCAGCGAAAAGGATGGACATATTTGCAATTCCCAAGAAGCACCATTAACCAGCTGGAGATATGACATCACCTGTCAATCACTATTGGCACATAGTA